ATTCATATGCTGTTATACATGCATTTGTGGGAGCGTGTGTGTGTGCGTGTGTGTGTGCTGTGTGTGTGTGTGTGTGTGTGTGTGCGTCTGTGTGTGCGTCTGTGTGTGCGTGTGTGCATCTAGCTTTCTGCCGGGTCTTAGAAAACCGAATTTTTAAGGTGGAATTTAAGTGCACAGATGAATTTTAAAAAATACATTCCACGGGTATATATTATGTGTAATTATTTAGAAAGACAGCACAAACCAAATCATATAGTAAAGTCTTTATGAAATTATGAATATATTAGAATATATTATGGCAGTATATAAAACTTATTATTGTTCAAATCTAGGATTATTTATTTATCATAATGACCGTTTGTCAAGTGGAGAATGATCATTTTGTGTGTTTACCCTGACCTGTACTTCTCTTTTTGCTCTTTTTCATCCCACAGATACCAAATGTTGTATTCCGAGTGTGTCTCACATATGACTCTCCCACATTTTACATATCAAAGTCCCTTCCAGTTCCATGTCACAGTTCTGGTGCATTGCTAGTAAAGTCAGGTTAAAAAAAGCAAAACAAAGCATCTGAGAGCTTTGGACTGAACAAAATGCATTTTTTTCCTGTGATCAAGTGTTCAAAAACGAGTTTTAGAATAACCCAGTCTTGTTTTCTATTTAGATGTTATGATTAGATCAGTGCTTGCAGATGTTGTCATGTAATAATCCAGGTGTCTGGAGAGATTAATATTGTTATCTACAGCTCAAAAAGAAAAAAAAGATTCTAAGCACTGGTTTGCTTAAAGCATGTCACCTGGGTTTTTAATACAATGTGATGCCAATGGACATGTATCCTACATGAGAAAAAAAAGTAGCAAGTCAAACAGTAACTTCTCATTAAAACGAATGCAATGCTCAATATTTAGCAATACTGTGTATAAAGCAGAACTTCACCGGTGATATTGGGGTGAATCAGCAAAGGCGGACCCATCACTGAAGCAATGACAGGCCAGCTGTATTTTTACAACAGCACCTTTTCAGTCCATCCTCATGGTACAAACGCTGCTCTGCACTGATTTGATTACGTTACACATCAAGAGGAAAAAATAAATTATATATATATATATATATATATATATTTGCCTGTCAAAGAGGCATCCACAGTGGCAGATTTTGTTGCTTTCCCAATATCCAAATGGCAGCTCCCGCACTTCTGTTCAACTTTGTCTTACAGATGTGAGAAAGATGTCCAATTTAAGCAGATGGATGTCTCATGCTGAGATAGCAAGGCATAAAAGCCTGCAAGCATTTGCATAATCCTTGGACTAAGCCTTAAGACAGCACTGGTGAAAGCAGGATGAGATTGTGAGGTATGAAGGAATATGTACAGTTTGCAATGCAAAGTTTAGTTTTTATTAACTATCCATTATAATCCAACGCAAGGTATTAGTTTCTAACTTTGGACTGAGATTTACTGATTCTTCTTCTTATGTGACAGTACTGTTGTTGTTCCTTGATATCCTCACTGTACTGATCATTTTGGAATAGCAGCAAACTTCTCTCAGAGGACTTGATATTGGATTTGGGATGAAAGATACTACTCAGTTTGTGAAACCTTGACTTCCCCTTCCTCCTAATTGGATTTGTTTGAAATTGCGTACTGTGATGTTTTGTTTAGGTTAACCACCCCTCTTTTCTGATTTCATATAGCCTACTTTTTCTAATCATGAATGTATGATGTGTGGATTTTTATATAGCATACTAATTTAGGTGTCAAACAGAATCTGTAATTTTGTCAAAAAGATCAGCTATATTTGTAAGCTGTAAGATGTAAAATGAGAAAAAATGGTTATCAAAACAGAATGTGTTGGTTTACTATATATATA